CAGTCGGGGGGAGGACCTTTCTCTCCGTCACCATGGCCCTCCGGTCCCCGCAGGACGCGGACCACGAAGGAGCCATAGAAAGAGCTTCCGGCACTGGGGCCTGGTGTCCTTCCCAGTAAGGATGGTTTCCGGACCGTGCAGTGCAAACGCCCCCACCGACCCTGCGCCAGCGCTTCCCTGTGAAGCGCCAGGGTCTGCGAGGGGCGTCCCAAGCCCCCAGGCTAAGGTTAGAGCAGACGCCTGACCGGCAAACAGCGATCAGCGGAGTTGCTTCTCCCAGCAGGGCCAGCGACAGTCCTGGGACCCGAAGCTCAGGGCCGCCAATCACAGCCTTGCCTGGCCCTGGTCCAATGCTTACCACAGGGGCCCTGTGCCCAGTGTCAGGCCACCTTCCTGGTCTGGTCATGGGGGCTGGCCACCAGCGTCCTGGGTGCAGTGCCCAGCCCAGCGGGGTCAACCTGGCCCCAAATGAACCCTTCTCCTCCCAGGGCAACAGTTTTATCAGCTGCTCTTCCCACTGAATCCTCTGGCCCAATGCTGCCTGATTGGAGTCCAACCTCACTTAGAGAGGGGAGGCCCTACTCACAGCCCCCAGGGAGGCAGCCAGGATTGGAGTTGACTTGGATAAGGTGAGACCTTCTGAGCCTCAGTCTCCCCATCTCTACAATGGGGATGGTAGGAGTCTCTAAGGATCAACAGCTGCAGGTAGCATGTGCTTAGTAGATACCAGTGACTCCGGCATCATTAAGGAGTAAATGCAGATAGCTCAGGTGTGAGGTTTGGGGTGTGGCGGAGCCAGTGTAGGCAACAGGCAGGACGCCCGTGGAAGGTGGAGGCTCAGTGCGCTGGACTTAGGGTTCCTGGTCAGCGGCTAAGTTCTGAGTATGCCCCAGCCCTTCCTGCCCACTCCAGCCCCTGGAGCTTTCTCCCCCTCCCACCTTTTTGGGGGCCCTTCCTTGCTTCCCCCAAGGAATCGGCTCTGGAAAGGAGGCACTGTGTTCTAGGACATTCTCTGAGACCTGCCCAAGCCTCAGTGCACCATGGGCTCCATCCACCGGCTACGGGTTGGGAGACAGGCAGAAGCCAAGTCAGCTGTCCTGCACCAGGCCTGGTTCCGGAAGGGGTGCCCAGCCCCTCACCCCCACCCCCAGCAGCTTCTCCCTTACACAGTGGGCAAGCAGGTGAGCAGC